TATTTTCTTTTCTTAACATTTATTTCAAAAAATAAATTTATAAAGAATATTAATTTTTAAATTTTGTCCAGGGAATTTCGTGAAAAAAGAAAAAGAAAAGCTATGCATATAATAGACATGATAAGTAATAAACCCTACAGTCTGCAGGTGAAAGGACTTGGTTAAGCATAATAACAAATTTGGTGCCATCCCAGTTTCTAGAATGCTGCAAGTAACTTCGAACGCAAAGTCTAGCACGGCAGTTTCGCTTTCTGCAGGCATCACAAAATGAAAGATGGAATTTTTTTTAAATTCAATGCAACACCATTTTTAAAGTAGAGCTCATCAATCGCAATTATTTGTCACCTCTTCTTCTTCCTCCGCCATTGACTCAAAGTCTTCATCTTCCTCTCATCATTTCCTTGCAACTGTGCACTTTTAAGTTACCGAGCCAGACTCGCCATGTGCTGCATTACCTTCCAGGTCGATCCGCTCAAATTTATCACCGACGCATGGATGCTACTGTCAAAACCAATCGGGTATCTCCGAGATCCCGAACCCAGAATGTCTCGGCTGACCGACGCCATGAACAAGCTCCGAAGCCAGAGTGAGGACCTCAAAAACAGAATCAGCTACGCCGAGCTCGCCGGCCAAACGTCGACCCACCAAGTCAAAGATTGGTTCACCAAGGTCTCCGCCGCCGACGACAAGGTCTTCAAAATACAAACCGACCGTAAAAAACACTCCTTTCGTTGGTCCATCAACCGCAGAGCGGTGCGCTGCCTCGCTGACATCAATGCGTTGGGCAAAGATATCCCCAACGTCGTTTCCACCAAGTTGCAGCCGAACGGAGTGCAGGAAGTGCCCGCCGAGCCACCGTTAGCCACGCTTACCATGGACTCCTACCTCTCTCAACTCCAAGTTTGTCTTGAAGACGACGGATCTCGAATCATCGGCATCTGGGGCATGGGAGGCGTGGGAAAAACGACTCTTTTACGTAGCCTCAACAACCAATTGCACTCTTCATCAGAAGGGGGGCAAGGACCGCCGATGTTCAGCCACGTCATCTGGGCCGTGGCATCCAAAGATTACAAGCTTAAATTACTGCAACGCGACATCGCAAAGAGGCTTGGTCTCCCTTTGCGCAAAGACAGTGTCCGGCAGGCGATGGAGATCATGGACTATTTGAAAAACAAGAGCTTTCTTTTGCTACTTGATGACCTCTGGCAACCGGTAGACTTCGCAGAAGTAGGCATCCCACAGGTTTTCCGCACTGGCGCTACGAAGCAGAAAGTGATTTTCACCACTCGGCTCGAAGGTGTTTGCGGACAGATGCAGGCACGGCGCAAGATAAAAGTTGAGTGTCTCAACGAGGCAGACGCATGGCGACTTTTTCTGGAGAAAGTCGGGGATGAGACTCTCCAATCGCATCCGAGGATTCCACAGCTTGCGCGGCGAGTGGCTAAAGAGTGTGACGGACTTCCGCTCGCTCTTGTGGTGATCGGCTCCGCGATGAGCACGAAGAAAACACCAAAAGAGTGGCAGAACGCAATTACCCTGCTACAAAAGTCGCGCCTTTATGAAATCCATGGAATGGATGACAAAATCCTTCCCAAGCTGAAATTCAGCTACGACAACCTTGCTGATGAAATTTTCCGCAAGTGCTTCCTGCTCTGTTCCTTGTGGCCCGAAGATTACTCGATTTCAAAAACCGATCTCATCGAATGCTGGATGGGTCATGGGTTGGTCGACGAACGCAAGTTCGACAACATCAACGAAGCATACGACAGTGGCCACGCGCTGATCGGCGGGTTGCAAGCTGCTTGCCTCCTAGAACCAGGGGATAACAAAGACAGAGAGGTGAAGATGCACGACGTGGTTAGAGATCTCGCTCTGTGGATTTCTTCAGACTGTGGAGAGAAGCCCAACAGATTCATTGTTCTTTCCGGCGTTATTGCTTCTGAGGATTCTCAAAGAGAGGTGGAGAGAATATCGCTTGTTCGCAGCGATCTCAGCGACACGTCTGGCCTTCCGGCCAATTGTTCGAAGATAGAAACTTTGATGTTGCAGGGAAGCTTCTCCTTTAAATCAATTGTGTTTGGATTCTTTGAAGGGACACGTGCTTTGACTTACCTTGACATCTCCTACACCGCTATCTACGACCTGCCGCAGGAAATTGGCCTGCTTGGTAATCTTCGATACCTCAATCTCTCCCACACAAACATTCCTTCACTTCCATGGCAGATTGGTCATCTCCGCGAGCTCAGATTCCTGCTCTTAAGGGAGCTGGAAAGTATCGTCATACCTTGTGGCGTGTTGGAGAAGCTGGTGATGTTATCCCTGATCGACATGACTGATACATTGTGCAATAACTGGCAAGAGCTTTCAAGGCTGCGTGGGTGTTTGAAAGGGGTGGGGATCGTTTTAGAGAGCATTGAGGATCTACACCAGCTTGCCCAGCTCCCAAATTTACTTACTTGGCGTTTGGTGATAAGGAAACTGGTCGGATTCAACGATCCATTGCAGCTTCTTTCGCCTCTGCAGCTTGGGAGCCGCAGCATTCGTTCGAGCATCCAAATGCTAAAAATAGAGTTTTGTGAGCGCTTAGAGGTGGTGTCGATGGAAAGTGATGGAGATGGCGGCATTCAAAAGTGGTGCCTTTCGAGGCTGGAGGAAGTGGAGCTGAGGAGCTTACCGGAGCTGAAGGAGATTATTTGGAGAGGAGCATGTCCTGCTG